CGTCTGCCCACAATCAAGCGGTGGAACCCAGCTGACGGGTGACGTCACCCCAGACGTGTGCATCCGAGCACATCTGTGGCTCACAAGTGTGCTCCGCCCACGTGTGCCCTGCGCACGTGTGCAGGGAGGGATGGTGGGGGATGATGCGCGTGTGTGGTACTAATCAAAACTCCAAAGCTCGAATACATTTTCCCTAAAGATGCTAAGCGGTGGAATTTGCACAGTAAATTTTTCCGTGTGCAAGTGTGTGCGCGGAGCCACTGAGATCCAGGCGGAGTGGGGGTGCCAGTGGGACTGTCCCTAAAGATGCTGGGGGAGCGGTGGTGTAGCGGTTAGCGCGCTGCGCTACGAAACCTGGCGACCCGGGTTCGATTCCCGCTCACAGCCAACACCAGTGACGATTTATCTGAACCGGTCTCGGGCCTCCCCTAGGTCGACTCAGCCTCAAATGAGTACCTGGTGCGGTGTGTAAACATTTCCACTAGGGAGACAAAGGCGGTCGGGCGTGGTGCTGGCCACCCACCCCCTCGTGTGCCGTGCTGGCCTTCATAGGTGCTCGCTAACAGCACTTGCCCCTACAGTCTGTTAAGGCTATACGGGGGGTCTTTGTCTTTGTCGTGACAGGTGTCCCGGGATCCGTTATTCCTTAGCAGCCCTGCTGAGTTGTTTTAGAGGCCCGCAAGCGTGTTCTTGGGGCCAAGGAGAAGGGAGGTGGGGGGAATGACCCTTTAACTCTTTTTGTCCTAGAGCTTGTTTCCGCTGGTCTGTGCAACAGGGGAGTGCTTGCACGAGCCTCTTCGTGTATTTGTCCATCGACTATGCCAACATGGCAGCTGCGTGTGTGTGTGTGCGCGTGTACCTGTGACCTCCTGCCAGCGGGCGTTCGACACTTCACGTGGCCTCAAGGTGCACTTGGCCTGGCACAAGCGTCGTGGTGACGTCACCCCCACTTAGTGGCGAATGGCGGTTGTTGTTGTACCTGTGAGACTTTGTATGCACTCGGGGATGTGTATTTCAAGCCTCCTTGTGGAAGAGGCTCATGAAGGACGCTACTGGGCAGTTGGATGCAGTTGCCCTCCAGCAACAACGGAGAGCAGAGCGATGCTCACAATAACGAGTGCAGCACCGGGCGTCTAAAACACAGCACGTTGGCACTGAGAGGAGCATAGGTGGTGCATCTGCCAGTCATTTCAGTCTATTCAGTGACCTGGGTCTCTTCCGTGACCTCCTGCCAGCGAGCTTTTGATTCTTCAAGTGGCATCAAAGGGCACCTAGCCTGGTACAAGTTCCGTGGGATGTCACCACCACTTAGTGGTGAACTCTGGGTGTTGTTTTCCAAGGTTGGAAATGAAGAGCTTGTATCATTACGAGGGAAACTTTAAAAATGCATTTTTTTATTTTTATTACAGACCATTTTCAAACAATATTTTTGTGTTAATTTGGCTATTTTGAGTAAAGCACCCAAGTTAAATTGAGAACAACTGTACACCCAGCGCCGGATTAAGCTAGTGCGGGGCCTGTAGCATATAACATAAAAAAACACAATTTTTAATTGTATAGTTAAGTAATTGTATTTGTTCATTTGCTATACAGCCAGATACAACAAATTGCTAACCTTAAACACCCAGTCGTTCATCAAAGTTGCAGGCAGTATAGTACTATAGTAATAGAGAAAGTGCAGAATCACTGAATCGGAATTGATAGCTTGAAAGCATTTATCGCGGTGCCCTTGAAAGTGTGGAGCCCGTAGCATATGCTACTTTTGCTACTAGGATAATCCGGCACTGTGTACACCTGGTAGATTTGTTCTGATAGTAAGCCTCAAATGTGCACTGTCAGGTGCAGGTTTCACTTTATGTCAGTGTGAGTTATACATATTTTTAAACTTATTTTAAAATTGTGTACATGGAACGAATCTCATCTGAGTGACGTTGATCAAAGCGCGGCCTGGTTTTTCCTCATCACTAAGAAGCAGGAATCTAGAATGTATAAGGAACCCATTTCTTCGAGGCTTGCTATTAAGTTGCTTTATGTCAACGCACGTTACCAGTGAGTACATGCAGAATCGTAATGGGGACTGATGCCACGGCCTTGTGCTCTCTTGCGATCCATTATGATTTAGCCATTTTCCAAACCCCCCTCCCACCCTTCCTTTGACTACAAGGTGGCAGCCAAAACGCCTTCACTGCTTCAAGTAAACTTGGCCCGGCGTGCGGACACGGACGAGTCTGTGTTTGCTCACGGACTAGCTACCGAGCATCAGGGGTAGGTGTTTCCGTTTGGGCCCCATGAATACATTGCCAGCCTGGCTTGACCACGTCTGGCATCGGTTTGCCCACAGGGAGAAGCAGCCAGGCATTGACGAGCTGCATGTTGGCATGGCGGTTATGGATATTACTTGGAGGTCGACGCGAATAGGTGCTTTTTTGCGCGACTTTTGAAGAAGCGTTGCAAAACGTACAAAATGCGCTCGCCAAAATAGATCAATTAGATGCGCGCAAGTACGTGTGAAATATTATTAATCTATAAATATCCACATGCTTTCGATAATAGATATCTTAAAAATACATCGATTGATTAAAATCGTTTTTTCTGCTCATGATACATGCATCAAATTGTGCACGCTATCATTAATTATATATTGGCTTAAGTAAATTATATGCAAATTATATGCTAATCATTTACATGAGCTGATAGACGGGACAAAACTGTATACATTGCACTAAAAAATAAACTATTGTAATGAGATGGTGCAAACAAGACAAAACAGAAATTCTTAAATGAAAATCACTTTCCCAATTTGTGACATTCCCTTGAATAGAAGGGGTTGTTCAGCAGTAGAGTGAGCAGCTTGTAATCGAAAGGCACTAATTCTTGCACATTATGCCAGGTGCAGTACTTATTTAAAGCTGAGTCAACCGAGGAGAAGCCCAGGGCCAATTCAGATATCTCTCACCACTGATCTTAAACAAGGCCTGGAATTATACTCGGGTTGTTGGGCTCATTGCACAGTGCGTGAGCCAATGCACCACAGCTCCCACACAAAGTCAAATGCTTTATATGGAACGATCTAAATACACAGGTGGACACGTCGTACATGCATACATACAAACACACCGACTCCTCGGTGCAACTTTTGCCATTTCAAGAATGTAAGTGATGCTAAGTGTAGTAAATAAATGTGTTCTAGCCGGAGAGAGTGAGAGATGGTGGAGATGCTGTGTGTGTGTGTTGCATCTCGTTTACATACATTGAACAACTGTTACATCCTGGCCAGTTTTGAATGGTGAATTTTGATTGGTCAATTAGACCAATAGCTTGGTGAATATATAATAAGATATCTCACGTAAATTCGAGTTCCATTTTCAAGGTCAACAACATTTTTTTTATTTCTATATGCAGAACAATTTGTTGTTTGCGCCTATATTACATTTCAGTCATTCAGCTTCACATTCGCAGCGACATTCAATCTGCATCGACCTTTTTAAGAGACACGAGTGGCCCTTATTCTTAGGTTTTTTCGGTAAAGTCACGTAGGTAAAAAATTTGCAGCGATTTCAGCCGCATCACCTCTACATAACAAAAAGGCTCAGTCCCTTTTACACGCACCTTTACATCATCCGCACCTAGTTTACACAACAAAGGCTCATTCCTAACAGCGTGCTTCAGCCGCACCGAACCTCACAAAAATAATATCCAGGGCCTACCTTGGCTCCTCCCACCCTCAACCAGTATATATACAAGGACTGTTTTCTTGGAATCTCTCTCACTTGATACAGCTATCGTGCTGTGACGGTTCCACCTGAAGACGGAAGCTTGTGTTGCCTCCGAAACGTCGTGATTTTTATTTTATTTTTATTTTACTTTTATTAATTTTCATTCTTTACCTACGTGACTTTATCGAATAAACTTAAGAATATGAATCCTTGCAGTCACGAAAACTTCAAATCTAGAACGAGTGGCCCTGCTTATTTCTTAAAGGCCCCATCTCTTTTCAAACTGTGCTAGGCTCTGTGCCTCAGCGTTGCGCTCATTTATGTTTATGAAATATTGTGCACGTTTACAAATTGCATACTAATTATTATTTACTGTACCATTTGTGTGACCCAGGTCTTACTTGGTAATAAAAAAAAGATCTGTCTAGCTGTTGGAGGTTTAATGGTTCAAACATACCCTGGTAAAATAATGAATTATCATGATTCAAGGTCACGTTTAGATTTAATTCTTTTTAAACACAAGTGGCTGCAGATGTGACGTGAACTGATCACATGGAACATATGTGCGTGAAAACAGATTGATAATTACACCTGCGATTCAGTCAATGTATTTCTTCATCGTGAATATATTCATTTACGTGCATCGATACGTCGTTTACGCCGCTGATATCTCTTAGAATGCAGCCCCAGTACTCTCCGTCCCGTCTGTTGTGTCGATTGTGCCACTGCCGCTGTGTCTGTGTATCTGAGCGGCTGCACGAAAACAACAACGCCGATTAGTTACTACCTCAGCCCACCGGTTTGTTGTGGATTTACTCTCCAACACACCGGTGGGCTGAAGTAGTAACTAATCGGCGCATTGTTTACGTGACAAACCTTACAGGCTGTGTCGGGCGGTGGAGGTTTACGACACATTTATACTATGGGAACCTCATTTGCCAGTAAAAATATGATAATTGTTTTTTTACCCTTCTATCTGGCAACAAAACTGACACCTTTTACAAGGAGTCATGTTTGCATAGACCGCAATACCAGCAGTCATAATACAAACATTATGACTGCTGGTATTGCGGTCTATGCAAACATGACTCCTTGTAAAAAGGTGTCAGTTTTGTTGCCAGATAGAAGGGTAAAAAACCAATTGACACATTTATACTTACGCGATCTAACCCAAAAAAACTTTATTATGAATAATATTTGTCGCGAAAGCGTCACGTGTTCAACCGGCTGCAACGTGTTACGCGATCCCTGACCACAATCCTCGGCCTTCTTCTCGTCCCGCAGGAGGATCCTCATCCTGCTGGTGGTGGTGTGTGCCGGTGCCACGATTGTCCCAAGCTCCGCTCAAGAAACCCAAGGTACTCAAGAAGACTCCTCCCTGAGAGCCTCCTCCTGCTTGTTGTTGTGTTGACGTTGTTGTCCTTTCCCGCACCTCCGATTGGCATGGTTGGCTACGGACGCTGCGGAAGAATATGATAATTGTTTTTTTACCATTTTATCTGGCAACAAAATTGACACCTTTTTTACGAGGAGTCATGTTTGCATGGACCACAATACCTGCAGTCATAATGCAAACAAAAAACATAACTCTGATAATGTATGCACTGTCCTTGAAGTTGAATTTTGTTGCCAGATAAAAGGGTAAGAAACCAATTATCATATTTTTTACTGACAAATGAGGTACCAATGGTGTAAATGCTTACCCCGAGCTCTCATACTCTGATGGTGCATTGTCTTTGAGTTTTGCGCCTTTTGGCGTCATCTGGTCCAACCCATGTGAGACTAGGCTCTAAGGAAAGCTGTCTCGGGTGTGGACCAATCAACTTCAAGGACAGTGCATACATTATCAGAGTTATGTTTTTTGTTTGCATTATGACTGCAGGTATTGTGGTCTATGCAAACATGACTCCTCGTAAAAAGGTGTCAATTTTGTTGCCAGATAAAAGGGTAAAAAACCAATTATCATATTACTGGCAAATGAGGTTCCAATGGTGCTGTGAAAGAAGTTCAACACCACCTCATCATCATCAACATCATCACCACTTCCTCATCATCACCATCTCATCATCACCACTTCCTCATTATCATCAACCTCCACCACCTCATTATCACGCCACTGGAGCTGAGCACGTTTAAGTCATCTAGATTGAAATCTAATTTCTTGAGAACTGCTTGTTGTTGCGTTTAGTTTGTTGTTCTTTCCCCGCACCTCCGATTAGCAAGATTGGCTACGGATGGTGTGAAAGAAGTTCAATACGTTCATAGGGGGCTCCCAGTGTGCATTTGTCACTTTCCTATGGCAGTATTTGTTTGAATTACAGTGCCGTATGAGTGTGTTTCTGGTTATTCGTAACCATTTGCAATGGTTGTCAGATGTAGCATTCTACTATATGGGAGGTGAATCGTTTGGTTCGGGAATGATTGGGATCATATATGGATACATTTAACAACTTAAGACTACCCTGCTCTATGAGCTAAACCAATCAACCTGCATGGCATCACGGTTGATAGCCCAAGTTATTCAATTCTGTTTTTTTTTATATCTTCATGCAGACTCAACTATATTTGTATCAATGTTCAGCTTCATTGCCCTTCCAGAACATCATTTAAATTTACATCAATTATTCAGCCATGACCCTGTATATAGTAATGCTATTTCCCCAAGAAAGGTTTGTTGGGTTGAAAATTATCTTCAGTAAGGTCATTGCTTGGGATGTTTGGCTAATTTCTGATTACACATTATAAAGCCATTAGATAACGTTTTTGATGCTATGCATTTCTTGGCTTGTATGCCCCCTTGTAATAACTTAAAACAATGTATATACCTTTGTTAAGGCACTATGATCATTCTGGAAACTCTATGTATCCTTACATTTATTCATTATTGGCCATGGTTAATCCACTGCTGGATGAAAGCCTTCCCAAGCTGCCACCATCTCTTGTGGTCATGTGATGTGATAATCCACCCAGCACCTTCACACGAGCCTATTCCTTCTCTTCTTATAACATGTCTTACCCAAGCCTACCTACTTTCATGCATAGTTACTATTCACAGATTGTAAAAATATTTTCGAAATAAAAAAAAATACATATATACGTGGTATACAATTTAATAAACTTGCGTAATGTGGTTAAAGTATTAAGTTCGCAAAGGATAATGTTACAAACAAAATCCCAGTCTTCGTGACCCATAAACTAATATTTGCAATTTCCCCCCAAAGCTGCCTGAGGCAAAGTACAAACTTTACTCTTGGCATTCGTGCCAGCAGTGGGCTATTGTTGGCCACACCAGAGATGCTAAAAGCGCTCTGTGTACATTTCCAGCAGGACATTACATTTCACAAGAGGGCTTTAAATGCTGTGGTGTGCCTACGTGCAGTGATTGAAGCAAGCAGGCCTTTGCTTGAGAGCAGGCGGGGGTGGTGATGGTTGCTGTGTGCTCGAGCCCGACAAGATGCAGTTGCAAGTTTATCTGTAGATTATTTGTTACGGGATGAGAAGGAAAGGTGCGTTTGTGTTTTCTTGAAATGGTGACTGGCATTTTGTAATCTGTCATTCTTGGCACAAGGTGCCATGCAATCAAGTGCTGTGATAATAAGAGCCCCCTTACAACAGAGCTTGATTTCTTCCCTGATTAATTTCCGGGTCGCCAAATTCCCAGGAAATGACACGTGACTGGTAGCTTTCGCCATAGCCAGAGCTATATTGGATGTGGCTTGTCAGGTGCGGTAATATTTTCCTGATCGCTGACTCAGACAGACCTGGCTGAAATTAAGTCCTGCATTACCGTATTTGTGGGTGTATCGCGAAGCAAATCTACATGGTTTTATTACAAGTGTACCCAGCCAGGGTTTGTCTTCTTAAACAAAGGCTGCTGAAAAACATTGAGCTAGAAGGCCCGTAAGCTCATTGACCAAATGTAAGCTAGTTGTATTTATTTATTTAGCTGGTAATATAATTAGAGCGTGTCTAATTAAATCTCGCCTCAAGACGCAATTAATTATGCTTGCTTTTGGCTCCCCCAATTAGCTGCTATACTTGTTCGTGTTTCCTTCCCCTGGCACAGTGGTTATTTATTAATGTATTCGTTTATTTTTTCACGTATTGCACTTTCATTAACTTGTAGAAAGCTGCTTTATAAATGTCATTCATTATTATTATTTATTCCTGGTGCATATTATTATCATTATCAGAGTTGCTTCTTTTTGTTTGCATTTTTGGCTACTTGTGTTGTGGTTATTGCAAACATGATGCCTTGTATAAAGGTGTCAGTTTTGTACCAGTTTAAAAGGGTAAAAACCTACTACTATATTTTGCCACTGGTAAAATAGATCTCATAGTGTAAATGCTTACCCCGAGCTCTCAATACTCTGATATTGCACTGTGTTTGAGTTGTACGCCTTCTGGTGTCATCTGGTCCAACACCAATGGGGACTAGGCTCTAAAGAAAGCCGTCTCGGGTGTGGACCAATCAACTTCAAGGACAGTGCATATTATTATCATTATCAGAGTTGCTTTTTTTTGTTTGCATTTTTGACTACTTGTGTTGTGGTTATTGCAAACATGATGCCTTGTATAAGGGTGTCAGTTTTGTACCAGTTTAAAAGGGTAAAAACCTACTATTATATTTTGCCACTGGTAAAAGAGATCTCATAGTGTAATTGCTGCTGAATGAAGGCCTCTCCACACGACATTGGTCCAGGGGGTGGTTTGGACCATACTTCACCATGCCAGTCGGTGCACGTTTGTGAAAGGAAGGACCAAGGGCCGGTTCAGGTATCACTCACTGCCGGTGTTCGCCACGGCCGAGAATCAAAGTTCAGGTCGCTGGGTGCATAGGGCAGCACACTTCCACTCCCCCATTCATGACATAATGATTTTTCATCATGGCAAGGCTGTGAACAGGCATACAGCATACACGAGTGTGCGTCATGCATATATAGCAATCAGCTACAACTATGCATACAGTTAGACAACAGTTTTCTTAATTTTCTTAGCATTAAAAAAACCCCTGCTAATTTGAGGATCATTTTTTATCGTGTATTAAATGCGATTACAGTAAACACTGGAATTGTGCAGTTGTTTGTACGTCCGTGATTCGTTTGATTAAAGTCAGATTTTGAACATCAGGAAATTGGATAGTATAAACATAAAAGCATGCTGTGGGGTTGGGAGAGGGGCTGCCGTGATGGCCAGTGCCGATAAGGGAAAGCGAATAGCCTTGGCAAGGGTTCCATCACGCCTACACACAGCACGCTCGTGCACACGCTCGTGCACACGCGCACGTACACGCGCCTACACACAGCACGCTCGTTTACATGCCGCACACGTAATGACCCGTGTGCACAAGACACATCGACCCCTAAACACTTGGGGACACGTACTTTCAGAGGCAAAGGTTGGCTAGGTACGGTGCGAAAGAAGTTCAGCATACGTACGTACACACAGATGTTCACGAATGTACAGGGTGGTCCAGATGTATTGTGACCTCCCCCCCCGCCCCCCCCATTTAATTGACCCCTAACATTTTTTTTCCTTATTTATTTCTGTTGTCCCACCCATTGCTATGCAAAAAATATATGTTACGTTTCAGAGAATTAAATGAAGATCACAAGACATCTGGACCACCCTGTACACGCACACCTACAGACACACGTACGCGTTGACTCGGCGTAGCACCCCGAGCTCGATTATGAAGATGCATCGACACTCATGTAGCATCTCTCGGTGAAGCAAGGTTTAAAAAAAAAATTTTGGCAAGTTTCCCAGAAATCATTCTGTCGCCATTCAAAGTGTCACGCCGAGTGACCCGTTGATTATGAATTTTTCTTTTGGAAGGGGGTGCGGGTCGACGGTGGTGAGTGCTTGATTCAACGAGTCAGTGCTGTCTACTGTGGTGGAGGTGTCCGTTACTTGATTTTGTTATGAGATATGTTGCGGACGGCCATAATTTCCACTCTGAACAAGATTCCACTGAGAAGAATCTTCTCCCACAACCCAACTGCATGTTGACCCATGTTTGTTTTAGGGTAAGGCCACGGAGTAGTTTTCGGCCAAAGTTCTTGTCATTAATTGTCCACCACCCAAGAAGATTGTCATATTTGCAACGATATGAATTATACGTGCAAATTTATTGATCAATTTATGATCAGTAAAGCCCTCTCACCAGCTGCTTAAGACTTTTTCATGACTGCATGCAACATCAACATGGGCTTCAATTACCCCCACCTGGCTGCATCAGCCCTGATCCACACCTCCAGGCAATAGGCGACTGGTAATTTTATCAGTGGCAGACCTGCCCTGACCAGTTGTACCACCATTGGTCAAACATGTCGAGAAAGTTCAGGCCTGTTTTGAG